CCTTCCCGGGCCCGATACCCTGGCTTGGTCTCAGGGGCTTAAGGGATTCAGGGGGTTCAAGGGGTTTAAGGGGTTAGTGGGGTTTAGGGTTTAGGGTTTAGGGTTTCGGTTGGGGTTTAGTTTTTTGGGGGGAAGGGGGGGGGGGTAAATATTGGGGGTTGGGGGTTCAAGGTCAATTGGGTGTAAGGGGTTTGGAGTTGCAAAAACATAGGGGCTTGCTTGATTTTGGTTTATACGAGAACTTTCGGGAATGCTGCCCTGTCCCATAAACTCTATGAACACCAAAGGCCCCAAACCCCAAACTACTTCGCGCGGGAAAGTTCCCCCAAGGACCTCCAGTGCTGGCTTTGAGTCCACTGAACCTCAAGCTTGAGGGGGTTTAGGGCTAGGCGCTTTAGTAGGGCTAGGGGTTTAGGGTTTTTTTCGAGGTTCAGGGGTTTCTGGCCAAAGGTTTCAAGCATTTTTGGGGGGTCGACTGTTTTGGGTTATGGTAGGTGAAGGTGTCTGAAATCAGATGAGTTCGGGCTTCGGGTTGCGGGGGCGTTGAGAGTTGCGGGCGTAGGGCAGGTTGAAGTCATGGCATCTCAAGCCCTGAGCCCTCAAGCCCAAGCCCGAAGCCCCAAATGGCAAGTTGCCCGAAGCCCTAAACCCCACGGGGCTACCATGCTTCGCCCAGACGACTACGAACCGGAAGAAGCCGCCGGTGAGATTCCGGCGCCAGACTTGGGTGTGTCATTGGGAAGTATAGAGTAGGGCTGAGGAGGGTTTAGGTTTTCTGGTTTAGGGGGAAGTATAGAGGTTTGAGGGGTTTTGGGTTTAGGTGTGTCCGGTTTAGAGTTCCTGGCCACGTCGTGGCATAAATTTGCTGCTTTCCCAAGTCCTGCAATCCCAATCGGAACCCCGACTTGGTCTACCGTGTTACAGGCACACGTTATTTGCTTCTCAGGCAGGCCTATAAACAGTCCTTCTCTTGAAAGGCAAGTCGTAGCAGAGCGGGGATGGAACCATCCATTCAGAGTGAACACCCTAGCCCTTGTAAGCCCTACCGACCCTAGACCTCCACTCCCTTCGGCAGCCAGGAGTAAGCTTGAGTAGCAGGCAAGGCTTTGAGACCTTCGGGTGCGGAGGTCCTCTCCAAACTCCTTAAATCCTGAACCCTTCAAGCCTTCAACCCAACAACCCTAAAACACCCCTGGGCCCTAAGAAAGTCCTTAAATATCTCTGGACTCTGGACCCTAAACCCTCAACCCTGGGCGGCAAACCCCTCATCAAGGACTAACCCAAGGCCCGAAAAACCCTAACAAGATGACTTTAGATGACCCTGAAGCCTCCGAGGCTTGCAGTTTAGCCCAGGGTGTTTCTCCAGGTCTTTAGAGGGTTTCAGAGTCGGCATGGCCTTCTTTGACTCAGCCGCGCCCGGGTCGAGATCCTGAACGGTTTTGGTGTGTTGGCCCTCTAGATGTTTTCGCGTCTCACGGAAGACTGAACTACCCTAAATCCGAAATTCAAAATGTCCTAAACCCTGAACCTCAACCCAAAACCCTAAGCCCCAAACCCTAAACCCCAAACCCGACACCATAAACCCAAAACCCTAAATCCCAAACCCTAAGCCCCAAGCCCTAAACCTCCCGTATCCTGAACCTCGGAGGTCGTGGAGCAGGATGCCCACCTGATTGGAATGCCCGGCGACAGCCTGCGCCTCAGTTCGTGGGCATCTGCCCGGGCTCCTGGGGGTTTAGGGCCAAGTTTAGGGTTTGGGATTTAGGGTCTCGGAGGTTTAGGGATTAGGGTTTAGGGGGTTTATAGGGATTTAGGATTTAGAGATGCTACCGTGGACCCCTGCACAAGTTTTTTCTCTTTTGGGAGCCTTTTCCACACGATGCGAACCCTCTCACTGCGATATTTTCGCGCAAAGCTTCAGGGAGAAAGCCAGAGCCAAACTGGCCTGCTTCTTCCAGCCACCCACTCTGATAATCTGACACGCCGGCTTCTTGGGAAGATCTCTTCACTACGCTCCTCCATCTCAGTTTTTGGTAACTGTACGACGAGCATTGAGGCTGCGAGAAGGTTGTTGTCCTGGGTTTGGGGTGTTCTTTCTCCGGCTTGGGGTGTAGCGCGGAGTGTGGATGCATGTTGGGCGCCAGCTTGCTTAGCGATAGTTGAACTTGCAACATACTGGGATCCTTTGCTTGCAGGAGTAAAGCAAGCTTTGACCTTTCATTTCCCCGAATGTTGGAGACGCTGCTTGAGGTGTAAGATTCGTGTCTATCCCTTCAAGGGACTGCCGGCTCCAGCACAGGAGGGTTGAAACCAAAAGGCACCCCCAACAACCAGTACTAGCGACTCTAAACCCCAGATCCTAAAGATTGCTGGGGCCTCTGGGTTTCGGGTTTTGGGCTTAGGGTTCAGGGATCCGAGGAACCGGGGCATAGTCGTGGTCTTCACTGCCCAAAGCTACCCTAAACTCTCAACCCTACATCAGGGCTTAGGACTTAGGATCTTAAATTGTTTTTCATCGCTTGGCAGGCATGGCAGGAAGACCTCAGCCCCGAATTGTTAGAGCCTCCAACAAACCTTCATGCCACCCCCTAGGCCCCTAGAACCGTAACCCCAAACTCCCCAAGAAACCGCGCGCCCGCCTGCCTAAATCTGCAACTTTGCGCAAGGAAAAGCATGCAGACTCCCCTCAGACCATGGCTCTAACCTGAACTCTCAACCCAACTCCCCAGACTCTATAGAGCCTGAACATCAAGGTCCTAAACTCTGAACCTCAAACTTTAGGGTTTAGGGTTTGGGGTTTGGGGGTTGAACATCGAATCCTAAACTCTGAGCCTCAAGAACTCCGACTCCCCGCCCGAGCCTCAAGGCTATCGCGTGCGCCTGACTCTGGGAGGTGTCCTGCGTTTCTGGGGTGTCCTGCCTTTAGGGTCTGCCTGGAACCCTCGTTTTCTACAGTTTTATGGGTTATACCTACTAATGAAGGGCAATGTAGGTAAAGAGGGTCCCAGGTAGGGGTTAGGGTTTGCCCTAGAGATCTGCTTCTGCCGCAAAGAGCCCGCATAAGCCTAGGTGGAGGTTGTTCCAAATTCGGGTTCCTGTGGGCGTCCCTGTTTCAAGATGTTTCCTCACAGCTAGCGCTAGCACGCTGCCTTGCCAGAACTTTAGGGAACCAACACAGGGACCCCTGATTAGGAACCGCCTTTCCCTAAGGGTCCATGTACCTCATTATTATATACTTGGGCCCTAAAGTCCCTGTATAGGAGGTACTTTAAGGCCCAAGTGTAGAATAATTAGGTACATGGACCCTTAGGGTTTGAATCCCAGAGACCGGGGTGCTCGCCTCCGTAATGGTTGCTTCACGGCTGGGGGTTGAGCGTTCACCCCTCATCAGAGCGGTTTAGGGTTTAGGTGTTTGCGATGCGCCAAAAGAAGAAGCAGCAGAAGAAGAAGAAGCGAAAGTTCTAGGGCTCAATCTGCTGGATTCTGCAAAGTTCCCCACAGCAAAGGGAATATTACAGAGGGTTTGGCATGGTACTGTTCAGAGTTTCCAAAGCTTATAGGCCCATTTGGTAGCTTCATCTGTGCACCTGGAAGCTCAAACAAGCCACCCTACAACCACAGCCTTAAGGCCTCAGCCCTAACACGCTAAAGCCCGAAAGCCCTCAACCCTCAACCCTCAACCCTCAACCCTCAACCCTCAACCCTCAACCCCAAAACGCTTAAACCCCTAAAAGCCCTGAAGCCCGAGAGCCAGATCCCCACACTTATAAACCCTTTAAACTCCAGACCCTAGATCCTGAACCCTAAGCCGTAACCAACAACAACCAGGTGAATACCGCAGAGTCGATTGGCAGAAGCTGCCCCGGTCCTCGTCATTTCCGCCTGAGGCCTGTGTCTTACTGTACCCTAATTTTAGGATTAGGCTGCAGCACCCTACGAGGTGCAAGTAGTACAGGGTAATGATCCCCGTATTCAAAAACGCGATCAGTATTATTCAGGACAAGGGGCGATCAATTTAGAGAGCTGCCCGAGCACTGGTTCTTACTTGTACAGTAGTAGGTTAGGGGGTTGCGGGCTTCCTTGTGTTTCTGCTTCTGCTTCTTCGTCCTGGCTTATCGCTCCCAGCAGCCGCTCCATCTTCACCCTCAACCGTAAACCCGGAACCCAGCCACAAAAAAACCGATGCCCAGCCTCCACCCCCAACTGCTGAACCAGAACTTACAGCCCCCCCTAAACCCTAAACCCTAAACCCTAAACCCTAAACCCTAAACCCTAAACCCTAAACCCTAACCCCTAAACCCTAAACCCTAAACCCTAAACCCTAAACCCTAAACCCTAAACCCTAAACCCTAAACCCTAAACCCTAAACCCTAAACCCTAAACCCTAAACCCTAAACCCCCCCTAAAGCGCTCAGCCCTAAGGTCGCCCTCAAGCTCTATCTAAAGCTCTAAGCCATCTTAGCCCCTCAGCCGCACAGTGACAGGCCCCGGCCCCCGGCCCCCCAACCCTAAATCCTGAACGCTTGAACCCTGAACCCCAAACCCTAAACCCTAAACCCTAAACCCTAAACCCTAAACCCTAAACCCTAAACCCTAAACCCTAAACCCTAAACCCTAAACCCTAAACCCCCCCCGAGCCCTCAGCCCTAAGGTCGCCCTCAAGCTCTATCTAAAGCTCTAAGCCATCTTAGCCCCTTAGGCGCCTGAACCCCTACAGTGACAGGCCCCAGCCCCCGGCCCCCCAAGCCCTGAACATTAAGTTGCTTTAAGCCCTGAACCCTAAACCCTAAACCCTAAACCCTAAACCTTGAACCCTTGAACCCCTTGGACCTGGACCATTGGACCCTTGGAACTCTGGACCCCTTGCACCCTTGCACCTTTGCACCCTGGGACCTTTGGACCGTTGGCCCCTTGAACCCTTGGAGCAGCGTGACACTTGGACCCTCGGACCCTGAATCCCAAACCCTAAAACCCTAAAGCCTAAAATCCCTAAGCCTAAAAACCCTAAAGCCTAAAACCCTAAAGCCTAAAAACCCAAACCCCAAACCCCAAACCCCAAACCCTAAACCCTAAACCCTAAACCCTAAACCCTAAACCCTAAACCCTAAACCCTAAACCCTAAACCCTAAACCCTAAACCCTACACCCTACACCCTAAACCCTAAACCCTAAACCCTAACCCCCCCTGAGCTTCCCTCGCAGGTCATGCCTCCCTCGGCCTACTACGTGGCGGGCGACTTCAACTTCTGGGAGCTTCAGCCGATGGAGGAGGTGGAGGCGAGAGCCGTGGGTTTAGGGTTTAGGGTTTAGGGTTTAGGGTTTAGGGTTTAGGGTTTAGGGCTGCCGCCTTTTTAGGGTTCCAAGTATGGGCCCCTCATTTGTGTCCCTTGCTTCCGTGCACGGGGGACTCCCTAGTTTTGGTTCGGGTGTTTAGGGGGTGTTTGCGGCGTTTAGGTTGTTTAGGTTGTTTAGGGTTTAGGGTATTTGGGGTATGTAGGGTATTTAGAGGGTATTGAGGGTCTAGGGAACCCAAATCCGCTGTGGCAGGAGCCGTCATCCAGCAGCAAGTCGCGCAGCTTCGTGGCGGAGGCAGCCCTGCCTCCCCCTCCCCCCTCCCCCCCTCACACACTCCAGAGTCCTTGGGGTTCAGGGTTTAGGGTCAGGGTTTAGGGCTTAGGGTTTCAAGGTTTGGGTTTAAGGCTAGGGAGTGCGGTATGGCTTTTTGGGCCTGAACACGAAGCCACTTACGTCTGATATCGCAAGCTGTCTTCATTGGCCGCGTTGCGCGCGAAGTCCCGGTCCAGACTCCTATACACGCCCTAGAGCCCGACCCTCAACCCTCAACCCTCAACCCTAAGCCCTAAGCCCTGAACCCTAAACCCTAAACCCTAAACAGTTGTACCTGCCCGTTGCTGAAAATTCTACGTCTTTGAGCACCTCGTTGTGGGTTCAGGGTTTATGGGATGTATGGGTTTGTAGAGGGTTTATGCCGGGTTTATGTAGTGTTTGCATAGGGCATAGGATTTGTAGAAGGTTTTAGGCAAACCCGAGCTACTTGAGAGGTGAGGCTGCGAAGCGACAAAGATAGCTTCCAGGCACCAGTGGCTATAGGGTTTAGGGTTTAGAGGGTCTAGGGGTTTAATATAGGGTCGGAATAATTACTAATGGTTTTCCCTTATATTCCCTTATGGTCCCTATATTATACTAGAATAACCCCCCAACACTATGGAGGCCCCTATATTCGGGGGTTTGGGGGTTGACGGGTTTAGGTCTAAGGCTTAGGGCCTAGAGGTCAATCCCTCCCCCGCCCCCCCACCCCCCCCCCCACCCCCTTCCCACCCCTGAGACGTTTTAGCATTTCGGCTGTCCCCGAAACCCTGAAACCCTTAACCCTAAACCCCTGTCCCTAAGCACTAAAACCCTTGTCCCTAAACAGGTTTTGTGGGCTGGGCTCAGGGCGGGTAGTTCAGGGCCTCAGGGGTCTGGTCTTGGTGGGCTTAAGGGATTGAGGTTATATTGGTTGGTGGTCTCTTTAAGTAGGGTTCCTGTTTGTAGGGTGTTCTTATTCGGATATCCAGGGGCTATTTTAAGGTATAAGGTAACAGATAAAGAGACCACCGGCCTTTATCAGATTGAGGGCTTTGGGGCCGGAGGCTTTGCAGGGTTTGGGCGTGCCAGGGGTTTGGGTTTGTTGTAATGTTAACGGGGCTCTAGCGTCTTGGCCCTAAACCCCAAACCCTAAACCCTAAACCCCAAGCCCTAAACCCTAAACCCTAAACCCTAAACGCCAAGCCCTAAACCCCAAACCCAAACAAACCCTAAACCGTAGCTCTGCTCCCCAGAAGCCCAGCAGTCCCAAGCATTGTGTCCGGTGAAGGTCGTGCGGAACAAGGATTGGGATCAGTCCTTCTATCCCGAGGACCAGCCCCTGTTCCTTTCAAGTTGTCTCTGTCTACGGGTTTTTTTGAATCTCAATGAACGTCGTGGAGCATTCAGCTGCTTTTGGTAGGAAAGATTGTTGGCACAACTCTAAAGCTCGACTTGTGTCTTGGGTTCTTTGCATCTATGGGGCAACAAGCTTTTGGGAAGGTGACTTGGAAAAGTTGTGAGGACCGCAACAGGCCTTTCATTTCCAGGAGGGGTTGAAGCCAAGGGTATTCGGCACCCTGACTCGTGATCCTTCCGTTCTGTGAAGTAGTGAGGAGCTAAGTAGTTGCTCTCCAAAACCCTACAACTCCTATACCTAGGCCCCTGCGACATTTTTTATGTTTTCCCCTCATTGGGTTTATTGGGTTGAAGAGGATCATCTTCAGGAATATATTTCAGAGGGGTTTTAAGGGCCACCCTGGACTCTCACCCGAAGCCCCGGAACCCCCACACCCTCAACCCTAAACTTTGTCGTAGTTGGGCAACATTTTACAGATTTAAGGGCACTTAAACCCAATATAAGGAATAGATACTTACATTTTTACATTCTTTATCTTCTCCCAACAACGAACTGGAACATTCTACAGTTTTAAGGGTACATAAACCCAATATAAGGAATAGATATTTACATTTTTCATATGATCCCAACAATGAACTAGTAAATCCCATCCACTTCCCGGCAAGACGCGCAGGGCAGCTCCACGTCCACCTCCTCGCTGAGGGGCCCGGACGCCTTTGGGGCGCTGAAGGGCTGGCGGCTGCCCGGCAAGGCATCGTCCGCTTGATTCGTTTTTTTTTTTTTTGGGGGGGGGGGGGGGGGTTTATTGGGGTTTTAGGGTTTTAGGGTTTAGGGTTTAGGGTTTAGGTTTAGGGTTTAGGGTTTAGGGTTTAGGGTTTAGGGTTTAGGGTTTAGGGTTTAGGGTTTAGGGTTTAGGGTTTAGGGCGTTTTCAGCTCTTTACAGCTCGGAGTCTGAAACTGATCTAGCTAGGCCCTTGCGACTTTTTTCCATGCTTTCCCTTCTTGGGTTTAGGGTTTAGGGTTTAGGGTTTAGGGTTTAGGGTTTAGGGTTTAGGGTTTAGGGTTTAGGGTTTAGGGTTTAGGGTTTAGGGTTTAGGGTTTAGGGTTTAGGGTTTAGGGGACATTATGATTAGAGATGTTTTGTCAGAGGGTTTTCATTCAGGGCCAACCTAGTGCTCTCTCAGGCTCAAGATTCGGCGGGCCTAGCCTCCCTTGCCTACTAATTTGCTTAAGAACCTCCTCAGACCATGAAAAGTGTGTAGCCTAGACCCTCAACACTAAATAAACCCTTCCTTATAAGGACATTACAGGGATTCTTATCTCTGAGATCTTGGTTTTTTTGAAGCAAAGAGCAGTTGCGGGCCAGGCAGGCGATGTGTTCCGAATCAACTTCCGGCGGAGCTTGCCGTCGGCTGGCAAGGATGAGAAGCGCAGCCCTCAGCAACTTGTCGTCTTTCCTAGAGGCGAAGGCAGAGCCACGGTTTAGGGTTTAGGGTTTAGGGTTTAGGGTTTAGGGTTTAGGGTTTAGGGTTTAGGGTTTAGGGTTTAGGGTTTGGGTTTAGGGTTTAGGGTTTGGGTTTAGGGTTTAGAGTTTAGGGTTTAGGGTTTAGGGTTTAGATCGGTTTAGGGTTTAGGGTTTGGGCGGGGGGGGCGGGGAGGCCGGGGGGCGGGGGGGGGGTGGGAAGGAGGGGGAACGGGGGTGGGGGGCAAGGGGGGAATGAGCCCCAACAGGAGGTACACCCCAACAGGTAAGGGTCTAAGACCCAGGTCCAGCCCTGCAAGCCAAAACACTCCAAAATCGAAGGGTTTAGGCTAAACGGTTTCGAGTTTGGTTTCAGGGTTTAGGGTTCAGTGTTCAGTGGTTTAGGGAAGCTTAGAGTCTAAAGTTTAGAGTTTTGAATTTAGGCCCTCATTTTGGCCCTGAGTGCCTGCTACTAGTTGGAGGGTCCACTGTCAGAGTGCCGGGCTCCGTGTCGAAGAGTCTAGGGTTGATGTTTAGGGTTTAGGGTTTAGGGTTTAGGGTTTAGGGTTTAGGGTTTAGGGTTTAGGGCGTTTGTATCCCTAACACAGATGCATGCCTCCAAGATGGCCTTTATATGTGAGGAATGAAGTGGAACGAGTATCTCCTATGGACCCCCAAGCACCTCGACTTTCCGACCCACCCCGGCCATCGCCAAATAGCATGTGGGGTGTTGGGGGTTTAAGGGTTTCAAGGGTTTAAAAAGGTTTCAAGGGTTTTAAGGGTTTAAAGGGTTTAAAGGGTTTAAAGTGTTTAGCCGCCTTTCCAAAGGTCTGTTAGCTTCACGCGGAGCACCTCTGGCCCTTCCACTGGCCAGGACAGGTTTCAGACTGCGCGAAGCCCACAAACCCTAAGCTCCCAAGTCCGAATTTCAACTCTGAACCCCTCTTGTCCCTCAACCGGTTGAAGCACTAGAAACCCTAAAGGCTGACCCTAAACCCTAAACCCTAAACCCTAAACCCTAAACCCTAAACCCTAAACCCTAAACCCTAAACCCTAAACCCTAAACCCTAAACCCTAAACCCTAAACTTTCCCAAGCCCTAAACCCATCAGAGGAGCTCGTAGTCTCCCACGGCTACAGCGTGGCCGAGACCTCGGAGGAGCAAAAGCGGCACCCTGCAGGGTTTAGGGTTTAGGGTTTAGGGTTTAGGGTTTAGGGTTTAGGGTTTAGGGTTTAGGGTTTAGGGTTTAGGGTTTAGGGTTTAGGGACTTCAGCCTGCTTTTGGGGTCGTGGACCCCTCGCGCCCTTATAAGAGTCCCTCCGTTCGGTCCCTTTGAATCAAAGGTCGGCTCCTGGGACGACTGCAAGACGAAGAGGCCGATGATCTTCGAGAAGGCCTCGGGCTGAGTTTGTCTGACTCAGAGGGGCCCGCACCTCCCAGCACCCCAAAGGGGAACTTGGGGAGAGTTTAGGGTTGTTTTTTGAGGGTTTAGGGGTATTTGGAGGTTTTGGGGGTGAAAGTTTAGGGGTGTAGGGGTGCAGGGTTTGAGGGTTCTGGATGAATGGAGGCGGACCAATCCTCGACATCCCCAACCCCCAAGCCCTGAACGACTGAAACCCCGCAAGCCCGCCATTCTCCACCAGACACTCTATTTACCCTACAGTTTAGTAGGAACTACCCTGGATTAGTAGGTACCCTAACCCCTAAACCCTAAACCCTAAACCCCAAACCCTAAACCCTAAACCCTGTAGGTAAAGAGGGTCCCAGGCAAGCCCTAACCAGACCAACCACCCCGCCGGCACTTCAGGAACCACAAGTGGTCAGTCCTGTAGATTAAAGCCTTAACCCTATAAACCCTAAACCCTAAGCCCTAAGCCCTAAACCCTAAACACTAGACCCTAAACCCTAAACCCTAGACCCTAGACCCTAGACCCTAGACCCTAGACCCTAGACCCTAGACCCTAGACCCTAAACCCTAGACCCTAGACCCTAAACCCTAAACCCTAAACCCTAAACCCTAAACCCTAAACCCTAAACCCTAAACCCTAAACTAAACCCTGAACAAGGCTCTCTATGGTAAAACGGAACACGAAAGGGGACCATAAGCAGCCCGGAGAGGACAGATCGTCCTGGGTGGCTGAAGTGGTTGTGCGGCGCTGAGGGTTGTGGGTTGCAAGGATGGGTTTCGGGTTTAGGGTTTAGGGTTTGGGGAAGCCCTAAACTCTAAACCCAAAATCCTGAGCTCTGAACCTCAATAGCCCGAAACTCTGATCACTGAACCCCGCTCTGTATCGTGAGCCCAATGACCCCCTAGTTCGGCAGCTCAGGAGGGTTTGCAAGTTTCAGGGTTCAGGGTGTCGCGTCGGGCTGAAAAGTCGGGTTCCGGCGTTTGGGGGTTTCGGCTTTTCCGGTTTAGAGTTTAGGGTTTAGGGTTTAAGGCTGTTGCCTGTGAACTTTCTCATTCTGTCGGATGTGGCGGGTCTTGCATCTAGTTCGAGGATCGCAGGGGACTTCGGATAGGCACCCTAAACGGGATCCTACTTTGGGTTCTCCTATTTATATAAACACAGATTGGCATGTTCCCCCTTATACTTACAGTCCTTAATCGGGATTGTCGCACCCCCTCTTAAAATCCCTATTGAGGACTGTTAGTATAAGGGGGAACATCCCTAAGCATATATTAAGAATCCTTACTTGGAGGTTCATGGTACTTATTAGCCAAGTATAGCTGTCCTGATATACCTGTGCTTATAACCATATTAGGGCACTTAAGGGGCTCATAAGTGGGTTATAAGGTGCAGTTATCATTGGTTAATAAGTACCAAGAACCTCCAAGTGTCTACCCTTCATCAACTACCTACTGCGTAGAAAGTCGCCCGATCCTCAGGTCCGGAAGGAGGTGGCCTAAAGCCCGACCCCTAAACCCCGCCTTAACCCCGAACACCCTGACCGTGGGAGCCCTATAAACCCTAAACCCTAAACCCTAAACCCTAAACCCTAAACCCTAAACCCTAAACCCTAAACCCTAAACCCTAAACCCCAGGCCCTAAACCCTAAACCCTTACCGCCCAAAGCCCGAGAGAACCCCTGATCCGAAAGCCACGCCGAGTTGGGGGCCACGGGCGTCGAGTACTTCCAGTTCCTCTTCGAAGGCCCTGGGGCGGCGTGAAGACCCCTCCTAAGGCCCTAAGCCTCCCTAAACCCTAAACCCTAAACCCTAAACCCTAAACCCTAAACCCTAAACCCTAAACCCTAAACGCTAAACCCGCAGGGTTTAGGGTTTGGGGCATAGGATCACAGACTTTTGGTGGCCTAAGCAGCCGACAGGCCCGAAGTCTGTCGTCCCCTTTCAAGCCCATACCGAAGCCCCAAAGCATCCCCAGGGTTTAGGGTTTAGGGTTTAGGGTTTAGGGTTTAGGGTTTAGGCCCATATTCATTTTTTGTAGGCTTTGGTTTCCCTTGGAAGCCCCTATGAAACAAAGAAAGGTACCCTGTTTATTCCTGGGTTACTTTTGAGTCCAGTAACAGTTCCAGCATGTTCGTTTGTTTTCGTTACGAGCTGCTCAGTTTAAGGGCCGCATGGCCTTCAACTTCTCTGGGGTTTTAGAGAGGGTCGTCAAGTCTGCGCGCATCAGATGTTTAAGGTATAGGTAGCTTCTTGGATGTCGCATGAACCTCAGTACGACTGCGCAGGGTCAGGATTTTCTGCTACTATTGGCTGATGTGGCGTAGATTTGAAGTTCAGTCTGCTCCATGTCAGCCATCTTCACGTGGGTCCCGCCTAGACACTCGTGGGCCCTCAGACGACAACTTCTTTTGCAGTTACCTAAACCCCGAACCCTAAACCCTAAACCCTTGAGCTGTTTTCAGTGATGCATGCCAGGCAACTGGATGGCCCTGGTCTACCCCAGTACCAACGAGGTCTCGGTCCTGGCTAGGGTTTAGGGTTTAGGGGTTAGGGTTAGGGTTTAGGGTTTAGGGTTCAGGGTTCAAGGTTTAGGGTTTAGGGTTTAGGGTTTACTCAATCGGGTTTTGCGCATGGGTCGGTGCAGGGTTAGGGGGGCCTTGCCAGCGCAAAGATGCGAGCAAGCTTCTGTGCTGGAATGGATCATGTCCCGAGTCTCCTCGACCCCCTTTGCTGCTCTCTGTCGGAGGCATGCTCCTCGATGCATGGTTCCGCAGGGATTTATTAATGGGCTGTTAAGGGTTCAGGGTTAAGTTTGGAGCATCGCCCCTTAATGCCCACAATGTGCCCGCCCTGCGACGAAGCTACGAAACCCTCGTATTTAGCCGTGCAAGATTCGCTATTGGCAGTCATTCGCTTCATCCAAAACCACAGCCCTGAATATAGCCTAAACTACATGAATCATGGCCCTAAGCCCTTAGACAAAAAATGAGCCCCAAAAGCTCTACTAGAATTTTCAAAAGAACGCCTCAAAGCCCAAGCCCTAAACCCTGAATGAAACTTCCGAAGCCGCAAATCCCAATTACAACCCAAACCCTAACTTGGGTTTAGGGTTTAGGGTTTCGGGTTTCGGGTTTAGGGTTTAGGGTTTAGGGTTTAGGGTTTAGGGTTTAGGGTTTAGGGGAACCCTGAAGTCCTGAACAAGAATCGTGCCGAGGCTCCCGCCTCTGCCGCGCCCCAGGGCCCTGACAGCAGTGGCGCCGGGCGCTTCTGGCGCCTGCAGGTGCTTGGGGGTTTGGGGAGGTTAGGCCCTAAACCCTAAACCCTAAACCCTAAACCCTAAACCCTAAACCGTAGGGGTCATGAGGTTTTAGGGGTCTGGTCGGGGTGTGTAGTGACAGTGGTTTAGGGATTCTGGGGTTTATTGGTTTATGGGGTGGGGAGTTCAGGTTTCGGGTTTAGGTGAGGGGTTAAGGGCTTTCGGGAGTGGAGGTTCAACCAGTCTGGGGAGGGGATTATTAGCTTAAGGTTGGGACGTTCTCCCTTATACTAACAGTCCCTAATAGGGATTACAATAGGGGGTACTCTCATCCCTATTCAGGACTGTTAGTATGAGGGGGTACATCCCAACTGAAGGCTTTTAAAGCATGTTGCGGATTGAGGCTTTTTAGGACTTGTTCTGGCGTTCTCCGAGCGGTCCTCACTGTAGGGGCTTTGGTGAGGTTGGGGCTGCAGCCAGGATGACCCTTGAAGCCAAAAGACCCTGAAAACTCCCCGCAGGGGCCTTGGACCCCAAACAAAGCCCTAAGTTTTACTCCTCACACTCATCGTAAGCCATACACCCCACACCCTGAGTCTGAATCCCCTGACAGTATCCTTGTTCCCGACATGGTCTGTTCTCCAAGGAAGGTCACTCGTTGGGATAAGGGCATCTTTCATGTGGGGGAAAGGGGGGGGGTACAACAGGGGGGTACAAGAGGATGTCCTTTTTTTTAGAGACCTGATCTCATGCATTCCCCTACAAACCCCCCTCCCTACTACTCCCCCCGCCCCCCCCGCCTAGGTCCTCGCTTGAACGACCTTATTGACTTTCATTATCCCTTAAAACCCTTAGTAATGGGGGGGAACCGGGGGGGGGGGGGGTGGTTCGTACACAGGGGGGTAGTAGGGGAATCCATGATGATCTGACCACACGAAGGACGACAGCTTCAAGCCTGGCGACGCAGTGCGAATTGCTCTCAAGGCCTGCCCAAAAGAACACCAAGCCATGGGGGTTTACGAAAATAGGGGTATCCTTTTGTGGGGGGTTCCAATAATGGAGATGACACTATTTTGGGGTATATTAAGGGTACCCCGGCCTCGGTAGGCCCTTGGGACATTTTGTACTTTCCCTTATTGGGTTTAAGAGGGTCATATTCGGAAAAAAAAGCGGAGTTTAAGGGCCATCCTAGTCTCTATTTCCCAAGAGAGCGCATGAGTTCGTGTCATAGCCGCCTCTTGCGCATTGCTGCAAGGGTGCGTTGCTCACATGGCCATCCTAGCAACTTGCTAGTGCAATTCTCGCACTGGTACATTCCAAGGGCTCAAACCCTGAACCCTAAACCTTAAGCCCTAAGCCCTAAGCCCTGAGCCCTAAACCCTAAACCCGAACCCTCAACCCTAAACTCCAATTCGCAGGTCCCTGGAAATCTCGTATAGTTCAGCTCATGCCCAGTGGTGTCGATTGAGGGTGCAGGGCCGCCTGGCTGGTCTTTGCTCTTGGGGTTTAGGGTTTAGATGTGCTTAGGGTTTAGGGTGTTCGCTGGTGTACGCTGAGACCACCACATTCTTTGGTTGGGGTCCGGCTTATTGGCTGAAGTGTTCGCCCGCCCACACAAATTGTTAAAACCTTGACGAATTTAGGGTCATCTATCCCCCAACCCCCTAGCAAGGGGCAAGGGGGGAAAATGGTTTTGGCAGGTCTCCCATTCGAGGCCCTTGACAGACAAAACCTGCCCTTCAACCAGGATGGGCTAGTAGGCCTCATAATCCCCATCATGAACCCTACAAAGTGCCTTTTTAAGGGATTACAGGGTATAAGCGCCCATCCTGGAAAGGCCTTCGAAACAGTTTTATGGCCGCCACTAGACAAGCAAAACCCGTCTGAGAGGCCTTCGGAAGCAAAAATGGGGCCCTGGGGGGCTCCTAGCAAAAAAAAAACTTGATTTGGGCTTTGGCTACCTGTCAATACAGGCCCCTGCCTTTGTGCCCAGCGTCGGCAAAAGTGGACCTAGACAGGCAGGAGCTGGGCCTTGCGGCAAAAGCTTGATTTGGGATTTTGCTGCCCTCCTGAAGCAAAAAGTTGCGTTGTTGGTCTTTTTTTGGCCCTGGACTCGGAGCGAAATATGCAGGGCTTGGGGCTATCGGCTGCAGTGTGGCCCATGCACGGCTCGCTTGCCGGCCTTCGCCTACGGGTCCGCAGGCCCCTGCCGGTGGCCTGCTAACGACTGGCCCCCATAGTTGGGGAGGGGGTTAGGGTTTAGGGCCTTGGGAGCCGGAAACCCTCAACTCTCCAGGGTCTAGGATTTTCGTAGAGTTCAAGTCCAAGTTGCCCTCAACTCTTGACGAGACTTAGCAAATCTTGAAACCTGAATGCCCCCAACCCCTACAATCTCAACCCCGAAGCTTTCTCGAACCTAAACCTTCTTACCTTGTAAACCCTGGAAGCATGTAAGCCTACATACTAGAAACCCTGCAAGCCCTGTAAGCCCTATAAGCAACCCAAGAGCAACCGTTCGCCCTAAACCCGAAACCCTAAACCCTAAACCCTAAACCTCAAACCCAGGTGGGCCCTGGTGGCTTGCCGCAGTCCGTTGGATGGGAGATCCTCAAAACCCCTTTCACAATCTAAGCTCCAATCCGAGCTCCTCACCTCCAATCTCAGGGGCCTTGGGGGTGGGCTAAGGGCTTTGGGAGGTTTGTAAGGTTTAGGGATTTAGGGCATTTGGGAGAAGATCTCCTCGTCATATGGTTTCAAGGGAGATCCCTGAAAAGCCAGGTTCAAAGAGCTCAAGGTGGAAATCGGGGTTTAGGGCTTGGGGTTTAGGCGGTTAGGGTTTTAGGGTTAGGGGTTTATAGGGTTTTAAGGGTTTTAGGGTTTGCGGAGTTGAGGGTTGAGGATTTAGGGCGGGTGCTTTTGGCAGTCCTTAAATATCCGGCGGCTTTTTTTGGTCTCTTGAGGATCTCCTCTTAGGGCCACCGAGACAGCACCGACTACACGTGCGTGTTGCCTAAAGGGGCCAAATCCGGGTTTCCGAAAATAAGGGTACCTTATTGGGGTCCTTATGAAAAGGGAATCCTACTATTTGGGGGACTATGTTAGGTGTCCCTTCTTTCGTAAACCCCCACATCCCAAACCCTGAACGGCGATGGAACTGATGAGCCCAGGAAAGAAGCCTCACATCCCCTTTCACGATCTAGGGCCAATCTGAGCTCCTCACCCCCAAACTCAGGGCCTTGGGGCTTCTTGGGGAGTTTGATTGTGGGCTTAGGGCTTGGAAACTTGCAGGGTTTAGGGATTTAGGCAGGGTATTTAGGGTATTTTAGGATCTTAGGGTCTTAAATTCTGCAAGCTTTGGGGGGTTACAGTCGGCTTTATGGAGCCTGGTGCTGACAGCGTCGGAATGCGCGGCAGGGGCCCTGATTTTTATGTGGGGCCTTGCTGCTTCGACAGCTTGCGGGTGCAAGCTCCGGCCAGGGGTAGAACCCTTAGTAAGCCCCAAACGGAGGCTGGGTAGGCTTGTGGGACATTGCAAATTTCGCCTACTTGGGTTTAAGAGGATCATATCTTGGAACAAAATTCAGAAGGTTTAAGGGGCCAGCCCCGTGAGGCTTTCAGATTTCAGTGCCCGGCGGATGTTGCACTGGCAGGCTGAGGAAATCATTTCAACATGTAGCGAGCGCCCACGTTGATGTGGGTGGACGCCGAAATCTCTTGCAGCCGAAACCCTAATCCCTCAACCCTAAACCCTAAACCCTAAACCCCCGAAACCTTGAACCTTCCAGCCGACCCTTTTCGAGCACAATCCGGCCTTGTGATTGCATGAGGCCACACTAAGGTGTTAGCGTAGTAAAAGCCAATGGATTGGACTTCAGGGTTTCAAGGGACCCTTAAAGCCCAAACCCGAAGACTCTACTGTGCCGCCCAGAGTCCCTAAAGCCAGAAATCCCTAAGAAGCTTACCATCAGAAGCTTCGAGCTCCCCCGCATCGCGAAAGCAAACAGCTGCCAACTGTCCGTGTTGGGTTGGGTATCTTTTTTTTTGGTTCAAGGTTCCCTGAAAAAAAGCAGCCGGGTGGCCTTATTGTTTAATATGGGTGGTTGTCAAAATTATGGTCCCTTTTTAGGACCCCTATTCATAATACGGCACCTAATCCTAATTTTCAGGGTGCCGCAAAAGGGATGAAAGCCTGGCGCAAAACCCGACTCCTCTTCGAGCGGAAAGGGAGCTTGGAACCCTGAACTGGTTCAGGGGCTTAAGGGCTTTAGGGTTGAGGGTTTATATAGGGTTTAGGGTTTAGGATTTAGGGTTTAGGGTTTAGGGTTGGGGCCCCTTACAAATACAAACGATCGAGGCCTTGGCTCCCGATTGCGCCCTAGGACTCTCGCCCCAGCACCGAGTTTACTTTAACCTGGAGGTTTAGGGTTTAGGGTTTAGGGTTTAGGGTCTCTCACTATGAATTGCTACTGTTTTCTTAAGAACGACCGAAAAAAAGTTGAAACAAATGAATCTTCCTTACTAGGGCAATCTAGGGGTTTGTTGTTTCTTTTGTATGTTTTGGGTGGGTTCTGAAGCAAATAGTAGATTAGGGGTATTCCCAAACAAGGACTTGGCAAGGACTTGAGCAAGCTCAGGGTTCATGGCAGCTACCAGACCTCCCACACCCAGGCTACACGACACCCTCAACCCAAAACCCTAAACCCTAAACCCTAAAAACCCCAATAGTCGAATGTCTAACAAACAAGGACGCATGAACATCGCGTTGCTTCACAAGCTCCTTTTTGAATTTCAGGGCTTCGGGCTCTTCGTACCCGAAGGGAATCGATTAGGGTTTAGGGTTTAGGGTTTAGGGTTTAGGGTTTAGGGTTTGGGGTTTAGGGTTTACGGTTTAGGGTTTAGGGTTTAGGGGACCTTCGAAAACAACACCACGATTCGGGTTTAGGGGTTTCAGGGTTAGGAACCCAAGACTGTCCTTTGGAGCTCCCTTCCATGCAAATGCGACGACACGGGGGGCGAGGTACATGCCTTGGGCAAGCCTCAACCCCAAAGATCCGGAGTCCTGTTCGACCCCATAAGCCTGGAATGAAGCTCCGCGTTCCCAATCTCCTTCAACACCCAGCAATTAGGGTTTAGGGCATAGGGTTTAGGGTTTGGGGTTTGGCGTTTAGGGTTTAGGGTTTAGGGTTTCCCCCGAGTGTAGACCCCGAATCCGATATCTGGCATCTGCAGCCACGTAGCAGCCACGTAGCAGCGTAACGCGCGCTTTGCCCACCATGCCGGCCGTCGAGGCATCGGCATTGGGGCCTACGGATGTTCTTTTTTGTTTCATCCCCTCCCCCTCGATTCGAACCTTTCCCACCCTATAAACCCTATAAACCGAGTAGGGGTTCTAACCATGAAAAGAATGTTTTTACAATGACAAGGGTTTCTTTAACAATGATAGTGGTTTAGGGTTGGCACGATAGTGGTTTAGGGCTTCGAGTGAGGCACAAGAGCTTCAATTCAGTCCCAAATGAGGCCAAGAGCTTCAAATGGGGGGGGCGGGGGCACCGGCAGTGACGGAAAGATGGTTTTGGAGCTTTGGGATGCCCAAAACCTCAATTCTCAGGCCTTTTTGTCACGTGCGGGCCTGGGGGGGGGGGGGTGGGCACGGCAGTGAGAAAGATGCTGGTTTTGGAGCTTTGGAACCCCAAAACCTCAATTCTCAGGCCTTTTTGTCACTCGTGGGGTATTTGCGGGGGGGGGGGGGGGCGGGGGGCACCGGCAGGGCAGAAAGACCCTGGTTTTGGGAGCTTTGGAGGCCCCAAACCTCAATTCTCAGGCCTTTTTATCACTAGTGCGGGCCTGGGAGGGGGGGCAGAAGATGCTGGTTTTGGAGCTTTGGGAGCCAAATCCTCAATTCTCAGGCTTTTTTGTCACTCCCGTGCGGGGGGGCGGGGGGCACCGGCAGTGACAGAAAGGCCCTGGTTTTGGAGCTTTGAAACCTCAATTCTCAGGCCTTTTCGTGACCCCCCGTGCAGGCCTGGGGGGGGGCGGGGGTGCGCCGGCAGTGACGGAAAGACCCTGGTTTTGGAGCTTTGGGAGGACCACTCCCGTGCGGGCCGGGGGCTACGTTTTAGGGCTTGGGGTTGGGCCTTAGAATGGTTTCGGGGGCGTTTTGTGGGTAGTTGAAGGGTCACCGGCATTGTGGCTATTATGCACTGAGGCACAAATCCTTATCATGGTTAAGTGATTCCTTGTTGTGGTTAAAAAAATGGGTCCTTATTGCGGTTACGACCCCGCCTCCTATAAACCCTATAAACCCCGTAAACCCTAAACCCTAAACCGGGGGGATGAATATGATGAGGGAGGAGTGGTTAGGGTTCACGGGCGTTAGGCTTTCGGGTTCAGGCTTTAGGGGCTTTGGGTGTTCAGAGAAGGAGACCGCCGCAAAAGTCAGCCTAAACCCTAAACCCTAAACCCTAAACCCTAAACCCTAAACCCTAAACCCTAAACCCTAAGGGTCCATGTACCTAGTTATTATTTAATACTTGGGACCTTAAACTACCTCCTATACGGGACTTCAGGGCCTAAGTATATTTTATATAAATAATGAGGTACATGGACCCTTAGGGAAAGGCACAGTGTAGTTTCAAGCAAGGAGCACGTGTCTTGTTCAAGATCGGAGTCGCTGCGTAGTTCGTTCTGTACATCTTTCGAGAGATATCAGGCTTCTCTGGGATTCCGAAACGGTAGCCCTAAACCCTAAACTCTATAAATTTCAAGCAAAGCAAGACTGATGCGCTGTGCGCGGAGGTTTCCGCAGAAATCCAAGCCGCGCGGGACAAGCTCAAGACCAAGTTCGAGCAGGCTAGACTACCTTGTCCACAAAAGCTGCTAGCACGGGGTTCCTATTAACCCCCTAAACCCTAAACCCTAAACCCTAAACC